TCTTTTAAAAAAATTACTTTTAAATGCCTTATTCATTTATATATTGTTTTTTTGTTTGTTTGTTTGTTGAGAGATAGCATGGCATAATGGATAGAGAGTTGGCCTCAAAGCTAGGAAGACCTGGGTTTAAATCTCACCTCTGCTACATATTGGCTGTGTGACCCTGGACAAGTAATTTGACCTCTCAGTGTTTTACTTACTACTCTAAGACCATAAATTGTTCCCTATACCAATAAAATCACAGATCCAGCTTCTATCTTTTTGCATTTGTTACATTACTATTACATCCTAACAACAATTACCCAAGTCTAGAACCCTCCTTTATAAGGGTATCTGACTATTTTTTTTTGTTTGTCCTTCACTTTCAAAGGAGGACCATTGATATCACAGGGTGATGTCTTGACTTCTTGTGAATTGGATTTAAGAGAGGCAGAGTTGCACAAAGTTGTCAGCCTCACTCTCTCTTCCAGAGTTGTCTAGTGACAAGACAAAAGTCAGGATGACTGGTAATGGCCCAGGATACAGTGGATGATGACCTTGGTGTCTTTGATGTCTGACCAAACTCTAAGCACTCCACAATGCCTGCTTCAGCCACCTTCTTGGTTGTTGGAACAAACTCTTCCCATTTACTCATTCCACTGGGAAAAGTCTTCACACGCTTGGGGTAGACATCCCCTTAATTCATTTGGGGTTTGGGGTCTGACAGTATATGTATAAACACATCATTCCCTCCATAGAAAAGAGGTGTGTTTTATTATCGGTCTTCTGAAACCAAGATTGGACATTGCATATACTTTTCTTTCATTCTTTCTATCATAGATTTAGAGCTGGAAGGAGTATCAGGGGCCATTTAGTCAAACCATCTTGTTTTACAGATGAGGTAACTGAAGCCTAGGAGGCTAAATGATTTGCACAGGTAGGTAGATCACATAAGATCATACTCCCATCAGAGGTAGGATTTGAATCCAAGTCCTCTGACACCACAGCCATTGCTGTGATCTCCCTAATATAACCTTTAGTTTTAAAAGATATGATGTTTCTTTAACATACAGTTGAGCATGATGAACTCTTGAATGGAGATATTATAAAGAGCCTATGATTGTTAGGCCAGCGGTTTGGAATAGGACCTGGTGGCCTTCAGCTAGACCTGAAAGGCAGATCTGTGAAGAATCAGAGAAAGTCAGAGCTGTGAGGAACCTCAGAATTCATCTAGTCTAAACCCCTCAGTTCCACAGAAGTGAAAATTAGTTTAGATTACAGATTAGTTAAATGACTTATTGAGGTGATTTAGGTGGCAAGTGGAAGGACTGTTTCTAATTCAGATCTTCTGACTCTATTTAGTGATCTTCCCAATGTACCACACTACTTATTAGTTAAAAAAAAGGGGAATACAGGGAATATGGAGAGCAGGGGCAGGAGAATGCTAGGGGATACATCCTACCCTAACCCCATTTAAGCACATATAGCTTTTTCTAACATCTTGAGACAGAGCTTTCCAGATGAATGACTTATGATTGTTTCTCAGTGAGTGGAGATCCCATCGGGTCTTACCTTAAGCCTCCACCGAAGCTTTCTAAAAATGTACATAAGAGCTAACATTTATATAGTGCTTTTTAAGATTTACAAAGCATTTTACATATATTATCTCACTTGATCCTCACAACCATCTTGAGGGGGGTCTTAATCTTAGAGTTCTTAGACTAAACATTTGAAATTTCCATTGCAACAATTACCATTAGAAGGAAAAAGAAACCATGAAAAGACAATAAAATCTTCCTATTACAGTCAAAGAATTGCATCTTCCTTGAAAATAATCCCTGTACTCCTCTGGGCAGGTGATGGGGGAAAGGAGGGAAGAACCTGTTTACCTGGTAAAGGGAAGATTTATAGGGGGACATAATAGTTGTACTTAAATTTCAGAGGGGCTATCTTAAGGAAGAATTAGACTTGCTCTACTCAATCTACTCCTAATTTCCATCAGTCATATTTTCCCATCTACTTTCTCCTTCTTGGTTGCTTATAAATATATTCAGGCCTCTCTTATCCTTAAAAAATCTTGTGACCCCACTATTCCCTTGCTATTGACCAGTATCCTTCCATTCACTATTAAATTCTTAAAAAGAACAGCCTTCCTTTGCCATCTCCACCTCATTACCCCTAAATCCTTTATATTCTGACCATTGATGGTCTCTATTATCCTGAAGTTATTCTTTCAAAAGCCAGTATCTTGATTGCTAAATCCTATGTCTTTTCCCCATGTATCCTCTTTTTGAAATTTTCTAAGGCATTTGTTGACCATCCCCTTCTCCTGGATACTCTCTTATACCTTGGATTCTGTGATGGTTCTTTTATTTCCTCCTGGTTCTTTTATTTCCTCCTATCTGTCTGACTGTTCCATCTCTATTTCTTTCATTCTAATACAACCTACTAAGTGTGGGTGTCTCCTAAGGCTCTACCTAAATCTACCTTCCTTCTCTCATTTTCTCCATTGATTCAGTGATCATTTCTCTACCAAATCTGTGTAACCAGTACTAACCTGCTTCCCTGCCTCCCTGCTTCCAGTTTCAATTGCTTCCTGGATAGCTTCACCTGATGGCAGCTCAAATTCAGCATACCTATTAACATTCCCCAGTAGCCTAAACTCTAAAGCCTTGGAATTATTGTTATTTTTTTCTACTCTCCTACCTCATATCCACATCCCATCAATCAGTCACTGAATTCTGCCTATGCTACCTTCTCATCATCTCATAGCCTTCCCCTTCTCTCCATTCATACTAACATGAATCTAGTTCAAGTCCTCTGTTCTTGCTTAGATTATTGTAATAACCTGCAATTGGTCTCCTTGCTTCCAATCTCTCCTCTCTCCAATCTGTCCTTCACACAGGGGCCAAAATATTCTTTCTAATGCACAGATTGGACCCTATTACTTCTCTGCTCAAAAATCTTTAGTGGTTCTATATTGTTTCAGTAACAGGGGTTCTTAATTTGGGGTCCATGGACCTGGGGGGGGTCTGTAAATTTGGACGGGAAAAATTATGTAATTATTTTCACTAGTACTTTTTTAATCGTATATATTTTATTTTATGCACTTAAAACAATCTGAGAAGAGTTCCATAAGCTTCACCAGATTCTGCCGAAGGGATTCATGACACAGAAAAAGGTAAAAAACCCCTTCTTTAGAATAAGGTACAAATTCTTCAATCTTGCATTTAAGGTCTTCACATCTGGCTTCATGCTACCTGTCCAGCCTTATTTTACATAACTCCCTGTCACACACTCCACATTCCAGTCAAGCTATTCTTGACATGTCATTTCCCACCTCCATAGCATTCTCACAGGCCATCCACACGCCTGGAATGCATTCCCTCATCTCGATCTTTCAGGTGGAAACCCTTTTCTTCAGAACAGTTCAGGCATCACCTCTTTGGTGAATCGTTTTCTGCTCTCCACTCCCTCCCTTCCCCTCAAATATTTTCTCCTTTCTCAAATATTGGGAGAACCTGTTGTGTGGATCATTCCTTTGTATACATTTCATCCGCAAAGCAAGACTCTTCAATTTTTAGTAATATTCTATGCTTCTTGAAGGTACGGACGGTGACATTTTTTTATCTTCATGTTCCCAATACCTAGCCATTGAATGCCATGGACATTAAACAATTAATAAATATTGAATTAAGTTTTGCTTGATCCTAAAGAGCAGGAATAGGATCAATGAATGGAACTTAGTGGGAACCATACCTTTGCACAACAAAAAGAACTTTTAAAAACAATTACAGCTGTCGATCAATTCCCTGTGGCTGACAGGCAGCGTGGGGTGCGTGATTAAGCAAGGATGCCAGTAGAAGGGGTTGTCTTACACCTGGGTGGGACATCACATTACATAACCCTTAAATTCCTTTCCAACTCTTAAAGATTCTGTGCTTCCATTAATACACATATTTAGTGATTCACTATCAGATTGTGGGCACCCAAGGATATTCACGCATGCACGTTCGTTTTGCTGGGATCTACTGGGCTGCTGAGGGTGTTGCTCTTGTGTTAGTGTTGGGTAGAGGGAATAAACAATGGTGTACGAAAAGGGGACGTGATGCAACCTGGGACCCATGGGTAGAGATCGGTTTGCGCCCTGGGAGTCAGTGATACGGGATAAAACCGGTCCTCCTCTAAAGGAGGTCCCAGCCGGGCGCGGCTCCTGCACCGAAACACGTGACTCCTTGGCTCAAGCCCCACAGCTAAGGGTAAGAGACCGCCGCCAGCCTGCTTCGGGCAAAATATAAACACGCATGCGCACCCAATACTTTTCGCCTTTTTTTTTTTTTTTTTTTTTTTTTGCGGATGCAACCACTCTTGGCCCCTCCTTCTGCTTCTTCACCCTCTTCCCCCTACTCCCTCCTGCGCTCTTCACCCTTTATGACATTCCCTCTCCACCACCCTCCTCCCCTCGCCAAGCTCGTCTACGTCACGACGGACACTCTTCTGCACCAATCATCTCTAGGGATCGGGTGGGCCGGGGCACGGAATGAGGCGGGGCCAGCCAATGGGGGCCTCGGAGCGGGTGGGACCTGGAGAAGAGGAGGAGGGAGAAGTGGGCGGCACCTTCTCCTGTCAGCATGTGGGCGGGAGAGGGGGGCGCGGGGCGGGGGGAGGAAGGAGACGAGGGGAAGCGAAGCGGCCGTCGCCGCCGCCGCCGCCGCCGCGTTCCTCAGTTCTCAGTGTGGGCTCCGTGGCGCAGGCAGGGACTGTGAGCGAGGGGCGTGGGGCAGCCGGCGGAGAGCGGCGGCGGCGGCTCTGAGGCGGCCGCAGCGCCATGGGGGGGCGATAGAAGCGGGCCCGGCGGGCCGTGTGGGGAGAGAGGCAGCGGCAGTTGTAGTGCTCATCTCCCCGGCGGCGGCCCGAGCGCGGCGGCGGTTGGCGGGCAGTGGCCCGGCCCTCCGGCGGGCCAGGCTGGGGCTGAAGGGGTGGGGTGTGTGGTGAGCTCGGGGCCTGGGGGGTGGGGAGGTGAAGGAGGCCCCGGGGTGGAGGGGAGAGAGAACAGCCGGCCGCTGGGCCCCGCCGCCAGCTCGCCAGACGACGAGGACGACGAGGAGGAGGAGGAAGAAGAAGAAGCGGAGAGGAAGGAGGAGGATGGAGGATAAGAAGGAGGAAGGCGAATCCGAGATTCAGGAGCACGGGCCCGAGCATTGGTTCACCAAGTGGGAGCGGCAGTGCCTGGCCGAGGCCGAGCAGGAGGAGCAGCTGCCCCCGGAGCTGCAGGAGGAGGCGGCCGCCGCACAGCCCGAGCACAAGCAGCAGAAGCTGTGGCACCTCTTCCAGAACTCGGCCACCGCCGTGGCCCAGCTCTACAAAGGTAAGGGGCGCGGGGGAGGGGGCGCCCCCGGGACCGTAAAGACCTCCCCCTCTCGACCCCCCCCCAAAAAAGCAGACAGGAGACACAAAATGGCGGAAGGTGGCGCCTCGGCTCCGGGACCGGCCCCGGGGCCCGGTAGGTGGGGCGGAGTCGCCTCCGGCTCTCCCCTCTGACCCCGGCCTCCCCGGGAGTGGGGGGAGGGGGAGCTCCCGCCGGGGGTGGGGGGATGGGGAGGGAGGTCGGTCGGTCGGGTCTCCGCCCCGTTTCAGGTGGGGGCGCGAGGGGTGGGGCGGGGGCGGGGACGCCCTGCCTTCCGGGGACGGGCCCGGCGGGCCCCCCCGCCCGAGGACCCCCCCCCTCTTCCCCCCGGGGGGGGGAGGGGGGGCCGGGGGGGGGGGGGGGGAGGCGGGGAGGGGCCCTGGCCGCAGGGGGAGGTGCGGTCGCCCCGGTCCGCGAGCCCCTCGGGGGGTCCCTCCTGAGCTCCCCAGGGGCTGCCAGCCCCAGGTTGTTTGCTCTTCTTGGTGTGGTGTGAAAGGCGGCAGGGCTGTCCGGGTGGGTGTGGGCTGGGGCGGAGTAGGACGGTGGGCGCCGGGTTATCCCTAGTCGGCCCGGAAGCTCGGGTCCTCCCCCGCTTTTGCCTGGGTCAGACACCGCCACCGAGGCCGCTGCCAAATTCAGGAAAAGGGGAGGCGGCGGCGACGGTATCAACAAAATGGCGAAGGATGGGCCGGCTCTATTGTGCCCGGGGATCCCGGAGCCGGGGCTGAGGGAGGGGCCGCTGCCCAGAGTCGAGCTCGGGCTCTGTTGCGGCCTTGCAGCCTGGAGCGCTGGCCTGAGGACATGGGATAAGGGGGTCAGCGACCGGCTTTCCCACGGTCTGTAAGGCTCTAAATCCCCTGAACAAAATGGCGAAACCTAACATGGCCGTTCAGAGTGACTGACTCCAAAATCCTATTTTTCTGTCTGTATGTCTCTTTAGATCGAGTGTGTCAACAGCAAGGACTTTCCCTCTGGGTTCCCTTCCAAAATGCAGCCACTGCCGTTACCAACCTCTACAAAGGTAAAGATGACTTGTACCTCTCTTCAGGGTAAAGGATTGTAGTCAGTGACAGTGCGGTGGATTTCCAAAGTTGGTGTCGGGAAACCTTTTTTTGCCTCCTCCATGTGCAAGAGATTGTTTACAACTTCAAGAGTAATTGATTACATGACTAACTCTGAAGGCCTTACATCTCAAAATAATCTTGTAGAGTTCTAATTAAATGTTGTGAGGTATGCACTCTACAAGAGGAATATAGGAAGGAAAACAATTCATTTTTTTTTCTTGCCTAGTGGTCATAATGAGAACAACACTTGTAGCGGTCTTATCTGAAGACATCAGATGATTGATTGATTAGTTATATGCAAGTTTAGGTATTGCCATTTGGTAGTTCAGTGCCTTAAAAACACCTCAAGTATGAGCTTTTGGATAGTTAATAGCCTATGCTAATATTCTCCAGTAAGTTGAATTTACTTACTCAGTCTACTTCATACCTCATAGCAAAGTTTTGGTAAGCAGTCTGTCCTTTCCACTCATTATAAACATAGTTTGATATTGGTGATTTTGCATGATGAACTTTTCTTTGACATGGAAGCCTATCCATTTATTGCTATTGCTGAGCTTTGCATTTCAACCACACTGATTTAGAAAATAAGGAAGATGTGTTTTGGTTGAAAAGGTTTGCAAGTCAAGTGATTAGACATTTATATGTTCCAAAGAAGGTTTCAGAAATCTACTACTGGATGATTTAAAAGACTAACCAGCTTAGAGTAGTAATGGGGTTTCTTTGCATACATAACAATGTCTAGGTAGGTTGCTGTGCAAAAACAAGAGATAGAAGTTACAAGTATGTTTTCCACATTGATTTCTTGTTTCCAAAGTTTAGGATTACATGAATGTATAGGTAACAGTAATATTCTTTAGGTAAAAACTTGTTATTGTCTCTTTGAATTACTTAGGTAGTTTCCTTTTCTATCACTAATTCTACAAGGTTGGTGTGGATATGAATGTTTTTTAGGGAGGAAGGGTTTATTTTGTCCGCTAGTGGTTGGGATAAGTGACAAATCTAATGAATATCTATTTCTAAGTGCCATGTTTAACCTAACCATTGCTCAAGCTTTGGTTTCCATTTGGCTATGTGGTAATTTGAAATAATATATATGAAGTGGTTAAGAATGGCTTTTATCTTTGAAGAAGTTGGTAATGAAAACACAATGTCATTGATTTAGAAAAAGAGGCCAAAGTTTGTGCATGGTCTGAATTATAAAATATTTTAGATGTGCAGTTGTATTACGTAACTACATCTTCTAAACTGAGGTGTTGGTATTAAAAAGAAAAATGAGAAATTAGTGAAAAATGGCACTTGATGTTAATGCACCTGAAATTCTAGAACATAAACACTGATTATATAAATATTGATGCAGAAATTGAGGCAAATTGAAATAATCCCTAAATTTGAGTGTTGTTAAAGAAAAATCTGAGTGGTCTCCATACCTATAAAACATGGAAAATTGGCAAAGGAAGAAGTTATTTTTTTGGTTCAAAAGCATCACATTTTTCAGTACTTTTTATTACTATAAGTTCTGAAGTAGTGTAGTCTGAATGAGATTTTCCTTTGATATGGATTTTGCTTGTGAATATGGTTATCTTTTGCCTTTATCAATGTAAACATGTCATTGTAGATGATATTTATGAAATTTGCCTGTAGTGACCATCAGTTGTAATCCTTTTTTTTAAACAGTTATTGTATGAAATTTTTTGAAAAAATCTTTTTGGGCAACTTCTAATAAAGCAGTGATTTTTTTTCCCCTCTTTTTAAAAATCTTATTCTTGAAATAGAAAAGGTCATAGCATCATAGATTTAGAAATGGAAGCAATCCTCAAGGGCTAGTGCAACTTTCTTATTTTACACTTGAGAAGACTTGAGGCCCAGAGGTTGTGACTTGGCTTATTGTCATTGTCAAACTGATGGTAAGTGGTAGAACATGGATTTGAACTCAAGGCCTCTGACTTCAGATGCAGCATTTTTTCCGCTGTACCACTTATCCCCAAGGTCATTATTTAAAATAGTGAAAAACTTAGGTTGTAGGTAGGATGCTAATTACTGGTTTAGTATTTATGTGGATTAAGAGCTGAAAAGAACTTCAGAGGTCATTAATCAAGGAGGAACCAAACCTACAGAGACAGTGATTTGTCTAAGGTCACAAAGCACAGTTAGAATTTGAACCTAGGTTTTTGGTTCTTAACTTGATGCTTTTTCCACCATACTATGCTTGTATCATTATTAAATAGACAAATAATCATGTAAACAAATTATTTTCAATATTGAAGTATGTTCAGTCATTTTTCAGTTATGTTGACTCATTGTGATCCCATGTGGGGTTTTCTTGACAAAGATACTGAAATGTTTTGCCTTCTCCTTTTCCAGTTCATTTTAACAGATAAGGAAACTGAGGTAAAAAGGGTGAGTTGCTCAGAGTCACACAGCTAGTAAGTGTTTGAGACCAGATTTGTACTCATGAAGATGAGTCTTCTTGATTCCAGGCCTGGTCCTTTATATTCACTGTGCCACCTAATTGCCCTGTATTGAAGTATAGATACCAAATAAAATAAGTAACATACAACATAGTGGTTTTCAAACTTTCTGGTCTCAGGATCTTTTTATAATACTCTTAAAGCTTTTGTGTATGTGGATTATATCCAACTAAATACCATATTAGAAATTAAAACATCCTAGTGTTAGAAAAATAGTTTTGACTTTGAGGACTCCCTGAAGGGTTTTGGGAACTTCCAGGACTCCCAGACAACACTTTGAAAAACCACTGCTTTAATATTAGGAACTGTTAAGCCGTATGATTACATTCAGTAAACTAAAAAGGTACATTTGGGGTACTTTGAGCACTCTTAGTGACTATTTACTATTTTCTAAAGTGAACAGTCAAGATGGAGGTAAACATGAGGGTCCCATTAAGGGGCCCAGTAAGCCTGTTGATTGTTGCAAATTCAACCAGCTGATTTGATGACAGTGATTGTGTATGCAAAGGGTTTGGAGTTCCTGCTCCAAGAACATTCCTTCTGCATTTACCATTATCCCCTTTTAAAGGTACAGGAAAATCCTGACTGCTGGCTTCTGGCTTCTACCTAAATTCAGTATCTATGAATAGCTATTGATATTTAAGTTCTCATTTCATAACATTTAGAAAATATCAAGTTTTTGTGTGTTTGTGAAGATAAGATCTAGGACATAGCTGGTCTTTAGTCCCAAAAGAAACTTAGAAATTAGTTTAGTCAGGTTCTGTCCCATGCAAGATAGGTTGGTTTTTTTTTTTTTTGGTTGTTAGATATTAATGTGTCTGAATCTTGGTAATAGTTCCTTGTTTTCCCCTAATCTTCTTTGGTGACACGTCTTTATCTTTCAAGTGTTGGTGTCATTAGGAATGTATTGCTATGTTTTTCTATCTTAAATGCTTTCTACCTTTTGAGCCCACTTTATCAGTTGAGATAATGAGCTTATTTTTGTCTCTGGTCGGGCTTCTCTTATCCATTACTACTCTGGTCGATCCCCAGCCTAATTGCTGGAGAGTTTGCCTGGTCATAAGTAGTCTCCTAAGTGCTCTACTAGGGTCTCCCCTCGACCCTGTTTCATAAAATTTTGGGGAAAATCAAAAGTAGATAAAACAAGGTGGGGGGGAAGGAGGAAGCTCTTTCAGTCCTTGGATACGCTGTGGTTTTGGAGCTAGTTTGTTAGAGAGCTGACTGGTTTTTGAAAGTGATTTCGAATGGGGTTGTATGGCAAAGATAAATGACTTAAGTTGCTGGTCCTGATCCAGAGTAACTTTTCCTTAAGTTTTATCTAATGTTGTTCTGATTCTGTTTATTTTTTGGGGGGTTGTTTCCTAGTTTTCTGTATCTAAAACTGAGTCTGATATTTTAGTGAATTACCTCCTAGTGTTAGTGTTGGATATGCCTCTAGGTTTGTGGGATCTTAGAATTTAGAGATGGCCAGAGACAGCATGGTACAGTGGAAACCACACTAGCTTCAGAGTCAGGAGACTTGGGTTCAAATCCAGCTTCTGACACAATTACTACCTTGAGCCTCATTTTCCTTAATTGTAGAATAAGGGAGTTGGACTAGGGTCCTTGAGGTCCCTTTTGGCCTCTGTATTTGTGATCCTGAGTGCCCAGGACCACATGTTTAGTAGAACTGGGATTCAAACTCCAGGTCCTTTGATTTTCTGCTTCATCAAACTTCTCTTTTCA